AGTGAATTATAAGTGAAATAATCTGTCTGTAAACAATTGTTGGAAAAATTACTTGTGTCATGCACAAAGTAGATGTCCTAACCAACTTGCGAAAACAATAGTTTGTTAACAAGACATTAGTGGAGTGGTTGAAAAATGAGTTTTAATGACTCCAACCTAAGTGTATGTAAACTTCCGACTTCAACTGTATTATGATACAAATTGGATTTGTTGAACATATTATGCAGAAAATTGGCATTAACAACTTGGTACAGTAATGTCTGCGATGGGAAAATGATTTGTGGGTTAAATTAGCGGGTTATAGTTGTTTAAGGTTGCTTTAGAGTTTGCCCGGGTGACAACTCAGGGTTATTATTTTGTATGATGTGATTTCTTTTGATGATTGTTTTGTAAGGGAAATGTACTGCTTGATAAACACTTACTGCTGCTGTTTATTAATTTAAAAATGTATAGAATTGTCTTGAAATTATATGTTTGAAGACAATTAGAAAATTAGCGTTGAAGTATATGAAATGTGTTTAAGGGGAATTAACCTGTACGCGATCGGTGTCCCGTATACGGGACAGTTGAGCTAACGTGCGCTAATGTGATTAGCATTACTGTTGTAAGTAACAGCAAACTTTCCAAGACATGTCTTATATGGGCAGAAAGCTTACATTCTTGTTATTCTAACTGCACTGTCCAATTTACAGTAGCTATTACAGTGAACAAATACCATGCTATTGTTTGAGGAGAGTGCACAACAACAAAAAACGTATCACGGCAACTGGTTTGATACATTCACCTCTGAAGGTAAATAATGTACTTACATTCAGTAATATTGCTCTGATTTGTCATCCTAAGGATCCCAGAGATCAAATGTAGCATAGTTTTGTTTGATAAAATAAATTTATATAATCAAATGTAGGAATTGGGTTCTACAGTTTGAACCCCTGCTGTCTCTGGCTCCACACCCACCCCACCCGGCCATCTAGATGTGTGAAAGTTAGTGTATACGCTAATGATCCATCATGTATGATATTCCTGGGAGTGTGTAAACTTACATTTTGTATTACCATATCATTTTTGTATGTTCTCTATAGTTATGTACTTGAAAATGTATCAATTGACCAATTCGGCACATTTGGGCAGACTTGATACAAAATAGCCCAGTATTGTAATGCTTCACTGAATCAATCTGAAACTTTGCACACACACTGCTGTCATCACGTGGACAAAATCTAAATTGTGCCTAAACTGCAATATTATATTGTGGCCTTTATCTTGCATTTCAAAGATGATGGAACAAGAAAATAAATAGTAAACATGTTTTTTTGCTTGTATTATCTTTTACCAGATCTAATGTGTTATATTCTCCTACATTAATTTCACTTCCACAAACTTCTAAGTGTTTCCTTTCAAACTGTATCAAGCATATCCTTGCTTCAGGTCCTGAGCCACAGGCAGTTAGATTTGGGTATGTCATTTTAGGCGAAATTGAAGAAAAGGGTCCGATCCTTAAGAGGTTAATTTGGTATTGGAATGAATAAGAGTACTCTTGTAACTCAGTGGACTCCTTTAGACCTTCCTAAATTTGATAAGATCTACGATTGCAGTAGACTGAAGTCTTACATAATTATAACTAAGCTACTGACTGTTTTCCAACAATACCATTTTCTGTCTGCCTGCTAGTTGTAGCAGTGTTGTAATCGCTAACCTTTGCTTTTACAGCACTACCGGTGAAGACTTTAGAATTCTAAGTTTTAAAAGTTAATGCTTTGAGCCTTGGTGTTCTTGATGTAAGGTGTTCTTGATGTAACTGATTCCTGGTTTTCAAGTGAGTTGAGGGAGGAGTAATGGTAGTAAGAATACCTGTACTCTTGGGAACTGAATTTAAGTAGTGAGAATTGAGTTGACTGATCCTTGGAATTGAATTTAAGTTAACCAAATTTAATTTAAAATAGGCCTGGAATTAGTTAACTGATTGATTTAAGAGTTGACTGCTGTTAAGAAATGTAGATACCGTTAAAGAAACAAATAAGGAGGGGTACACCATTAATTAATGTGTGGAAGCACACAGTAACAGAATGATTGTGAATGAATGATTGTACAATGATGAACTGTTTAAACGCATTTTTCTTAAGGACAGGTCGAATACCTGTCAAGTACACCACTTAAATGGTAAGTTACTTTGCTCTGTGCTGCACTTAACAATGCTCTGAAGTCTATTTTCCCCAGAGTTGAAGCAGCCTTGCCTGAGCCAAGGGGAGGACCGCTCCACAAACTTCAGCCAGCCACTGCAGGAAGGCCCCCACAACCCAGACAAAGATGTACCAGCCGATGTCCCGTCGAAGGCGGCCTCAGTGGCCATAGGATGATCAGGACCGGACCCTACGTATTATGTTTGCTGCCTTCGTGGCCAGTCTTCTAATTGCAGCTGTTGTATGTGCCCTGGGAGAAGTGACCACAATACAACTGAAGTAAGCAACACCAGCATAGTCCCACGGTGGGACTTAATAACAGCTGCTCCAGCTCGAGCCAAAGGCAGGAGGTCGATGCTGAACCCTGGCAGTGTGGACAGTGTCAACGTGATGATTGTCCTCTTTGAACAGATGAAGAGTGTACTCCTGTTTAATTGTTTAATGATTCCATTAAGAATGTTTTGCACTATGTGAAGGTAAAAACTCAATGGCAATGGAGGTCATTTATGATGGTAACATACTAGTGTAAGAAAGCCCCCCCCCCCCCCCCCCCCATGCTTAATGTAATTGCTTGTGTGAAGTTTTTGCTGGTGTGAATTGTTTTTAATAATTTATGCCTACATGCTGACTTGTACATTTTCTTTAAAGTTGAGGAATATGGTGGACAATTACAAGTTTTGCTGTATTCACCTCAGAGAACTGTCTCTTGCTAGTGTTTTTCCACTGAGACAATCTGTCTTTGTCTGGCCTAGTCATAAGTCTGGGTGTACAGCCCATCTAACATCAATTTATAAAATAGTGAACTACTCCTTTAAGGTTGCAACAAGCTTTACTCTGTCGATTGACCTTCATGCATGTGCAAGGGCAGCGCTCACTTTTGTCCACATCGTTGTTGCGTTCCACACAGTGAGGAAATCTGTCTTGTGTAGTGTATATCCAATACGGGGCTTGAGGAGCCAGAGTAGCTTACCAAGCAAGAGGGTCTGAGGCACTCTTTGACTGTAGCTAGTGACGACATTTGAACTTCCGGATCCAGTGTTATGTGCCTTTTTGTTTACAAATACTAGCTAGCTAGCTACATGTCTGGCTAGTCTGGTGTTCTATGCTTTTTGACTCTACTTTTTAGCCACAGAAGCAGAAGCAAACCTGTCTCTCTATGAATTGCGATTGCTAGTGCTTGAACAGCAAGAGCTTGAACTGCTCTTACTACTCATGAGGAGAAAGAAAGAAAAAAACTGAGAAAATCGCAAGTTCGTCCACTGAACACTACAAGAGGGGACAATGGAGAATACATAAATCATCTCCATTAAAAACACCAGCACTGGGCACCCCCTCATATTCACACCAGCTTGTTTTTACATTGCGTCAGGATTATGGCTTTCGTATAATTTGCAGGCCATTTAATAGCACATTAACAGTCCTCAATAAATGTTCTGATTTACATCTTTGTAATAGTAGACAAATATCAGGCACTACTTTTCTGTTGTCATTTGCTGCATTGCGAACACAAACTTTTCAATAAACTTAAATGAACAAAAACAAACTCAGAAGCCATACGCGTTTGTCGCCTTGTTAATGTCCAAAAGCGGTAGTCGCAGGCTCTCTTTCCATTCCCCTGAAAATCAGGTGCATCCGGTTGTTTCAACCCCAAAGAGGGTGGGTCATAAACCCTGACCTAGGGTAAGCATAACTACAGAAACGTCATTGTTGGCTAGTCATGGGACAATTAGTTGATTGTTAACAATAGAATAAAAGGATTTCTGATTGTTTTTTGTTTTTACATTTTAGCAGACGCTCTTATCCAGAGCGACTTACAGTTAGTGACTGCATACATTTCTTAATTTTTTTTCATACTGATTCTGATCAAATGTGTTAAACCTGTAATGTGAATAGACGTGCAATTATGTAGCCCTGCCTGCAGTGGGTGAAGCTGTGACACTGAACATCCACATTTACCCTCTTCTCTTGCCCCTGAATTGTTTGATCTGTCTTATCATGGGTTAGAAGGGTGTACCATACTGATCAACTTAGAGATTTCTCTCTATTTACAGCTTGCTTCTGCAAACAAGAAGCCGTGAGTGAAGTTCACAAGAAGTATGATAGAAGAGAAGCCTACATTCCTGTCATGTTTTCCCTGCACTTTGACCTCCATTTGAACTGCAAGTGAATCTACTCTTAACAACCTGAAAGACATGCACGTTTCAACAAAAATAGTTGATATCCCTTGTGACAGGCTTGGGATGCGTGGTCAAAAGTAGTGCACTAAATAGGAAATAGGGTGCCATTTGGGGCGTAACATACTGTAGGCTACAGCTCATTGAGAGATGAGAGGTCTCTTAGAACATGTTCTTCGAAAATGTGAACATATATTCCTGAGAGGAGACCAATATTATCAACTAAACTGTCTGTGAACAGCACCTTAACAGACAGCAACTGTTGTGAAACAAAATGTTGAGAAAACAGCTGTGTGGCTCACATGCTGTTCCCATCACAATGTATTGTACCTGTCTGTGTTACGAAGAACAGTTTGAATAATTTTGAAGAAGAAAAAACACACACTGATAGGATTTATTGTAGGTAATTTTATTGACATAGCCAAAACTTCTCTGGGGGTAGGCTATAGTCTGCGCGGGATATAATGCGTGTGTTCCAAACAGCATATTAATGACAGGCTGTGCGAGTGCTGCACAGTATCCAAACCTATCGTTTGATAGACTGTCTGTTGACTCAAAGGTAGAGCGAATGTTTCTGATTGCCATCGTTAGTGTGACCTTGAATGAGTGTGTGAGAATTACTGTACATTTGTGTGTGTTCAACACTGTGTGTGTGTGTGTGTGTGTGTGGGTGGGTGGGTGTGTGGGTGTTTAGTTGCTGCTCATGATATCGCTGATCCAGATGTTGTATTGGCAAACGCGGGCGTAGACACTGGGGTGTCCCTTCTGGGCACACTCGTAACCCCAGGACACCACACCCTGCAGCTGACCATTACACACCAGTGGGCCACCGGAATCCCCCTACGTGCGCACACACACACAGACAGAGTGAGAGAGAGGATAAAAAGGTCAGAATTAAAGTGGATATTCTCAGGAGACAGAATACTGTAACTGTAGTAAGATGATCTAAAGGAGAGTGTTGAGAAGATGCATAGATGGTTAGAGAATATTATCAATACAAGTGGTAGAGGGGATGAAGAATGAAAGCAGGAAAAAGCTGTAGCTGAACTTGCTAGTATAGTCAAACAGTCCCACATTTTCTCAGTGGTTTAGGCCGACTAACCTGACAGCTGCTGGCACCTCCGTGCATGAATCCGGAGCATACCATGTTCTCTGTGAATAGATGGGGGTAGGCATTCTTGCAGATTCTGTGATCGATGATGGGCTGCCTCAGGCATTGGAGTTTAGTAGGGAAGCTGTCTGGCAAAGCAGAAATAAATCAATGAATGTGCTATGCCACACTCACACAGCCTCTCATTCAACATACAGTATTCTTCACAAGACGTGCTGTGTTGTGTGCATTCAAGTCAGCCCTAGACCGCTTGCGTTTGAAATGTTATGTATCATGTACACAAATAAAGCATACTCTTCAAGTTACTTTGCTTTAATCAAAGAAAGCACTTATTAACTTCAAATCCCACTCCCCTCTCATTTCCCCTGTACGTTGTGTCCTCTTTATCATGGCATAGTTATGGTACTGTAGAAAGTGCCACTAACCACTAATACAGGATAAGATTATTTTGTATTCGCCTAATAGTTTTAAGTTTAAGATTGAGGGTTGGCTAGTCGCATCCTAGGCCTATGGTTAGGTGCAACTTCTACCTTTAGTTCCCAGCCTCTCACTTACTTCCATTGGGGATGGTGTTGCCCCAGCCGGACACCAGGCAGTTCTCGTCGGCCTGGGGGCAGCGGGAGGGCAGGGCCACAGTCTGGACATAGCTGTAGAGTTCAAGTTCAAATTTTATTACACCTACATAGCAGCAGTCAATACAAACTGAAATCCAAGAGCATACAAATGGCATAGGCCTAAATAAATACATTTTTATAAATTGATAAAAGGACAAAAACAGGATCTTCAAGACTTAGACTTAAAGTGACTCATTAACAGTGTTGGGGAAGCTACTCTTAAAATATAGTTTACCAAGCTACCAATTAATTCACACTGGAAGAAGTTAAGCTACACTAAAGCTACCCTTAAGAAAAACATATCTTACTTAACTAAAGTTACTTAGAAAAAGTAGTTCACTACATCCAAACTACTTCATGAACATTTTCATATCTAAATCTGAAATGTCATAGACTACAAATTGCAAGTCAGAATGTGTAATTTAGCCTATTAAACACAAAAAGTGAGAATTAGGCACACAAGAAGTGTTTCAAGTGAGAATTAGACAGGTCTGATGACAAATAAGAAAGTACGTAAATTCTTGCCTACTTCACCCATATTTTATTTTAGAAAAAATAGTAGTGTAGTTCCAGTAGTTAGCTACACCACTACATGGCAAAAAAGTCATTAACTACTGAAAACGCTACCAAGATTTTTATTTAGTTCAACTATCACAGAATTACTGCAAAATGTAACTAAATTACTAGTTGAACTAAATGTAGTTCATTACTCCCCTACACTGCTCATGAATCACCTGTTGAGGGTGGCAGGCTTGCTCAGCTTGATCAGCATGATGTCGTTGTCCAGGGTGTAACTGTCGTAGTTGGGATGCTTGATTAGCTTGGCGGAGTCGATCCACTGCTCAGTGACCTCGTTCTGCTCGATGTTGTGCTCACCCAGACGCACCTGGATACGACTGAGGATCAGGAGAGGGTTTTAGGAATTCCATCATTTTGGAGTGAATGAAAAGTAAAGTACATATCTAAGATTGTATGAAATCCCGCTGGGGCCAGCCATACGAAAATGTATGCACACACTACTTGTAAGTCGCTTTAGAAAATAGTGTCTGCGAAATGGCATACAATGAGGAAAAAAAGCATTTGATCCCCTGCTGATTTTGTACGTTTGCCCACTGACAAAGACATGATCAGTCTATAATTTTAATGGTAGGTTTATTTGAACAGTGAGAGACAGAATAACAACAAAAAAATCCAGAAAAACGCATGTAAGAAATGTTATAAATTGATTTGCATTTTAATGAGGGAAATAAGTATTTGACCCCCTCTCAATCAGAAAGGTTTCTGGCTCCCAGGTGTCTTTTATACAGGTAACGAGCTGAGATTAGGAGCACACTCTTAAAGGGAGTACTCCTAATCTCAGTTTGTTACCTGTATAAAAGACACCTGTCCACAAAAGCTTAGTGTATGTAAACTTCTGACCCACTGGAATTGTGATACAGTGAATTATAAGTGAAATAATCTGTCTGTAAACAATTGTTGGAAAAATGACTTGTGTCATGCACAAAGTAGATGTCCTAACCGACTTGCCAAAACGATAGTTTGTTAACAAGACATTTGTGGAGTGGTTGAAAAACAAGTTTTAATGACTCCAACCTAAGTGTATGTAAACTTCCAACTTCAACTGTACATTACCTATTACACCAGACTCTTTCCTGACCATATGATTATCTTATCAAGAAAGACTGTGGGTCATACTTGTTATAGGCTAAACTCTGGGGCCCAATTAAAGGCTAAAACACCAAGGGGTGACATCAAATAGGCCTACATCAGTTTAGTGAAGCCCTGTCAGTACTTACGACTTGTGGCAGTGGGCAGCAGACACCACCCACTGGCTGGAGATCAGGGAGCCACCGCAGAAGTGGTAGCCAGCGTTCAGAGACACTTGGTAGGGCACGGAGTGGGCAGGGCACTCATACCCTCCAACAACCTTCTCATCGCTCTCCTCCACCGGGGCAGCAACTGAAACAACCAGGTGTGGAGTGAAGAACGATCATACTTACATACAGAAGAGTAGATCATAAGAGCAATAAGATGATGGATCCATTAACAAAGCAGATTTTTTAAAACAGTTTAGTTAACGAGGATAGGCCTACTGTACATCAGTCTACTTTCATGTAGAGTGATTTGTTTTTCTTACATACTGCTCCGAGCAAAGCCAGAAGAATCAGGGCCTTCATGTTTGTTTGTCCGTATGGCGCTCACACAACCAAGGCTACAACCAAGCCCTCTTTATATACTGTACCACTTCATACCTTCGCTATCTCCACTTTTTCAAGGTACTGTTAAAACCAATTCTCCCTGGGAATAGGGCATATGGCTCCAGAACACATTGGGCCATTACCTAATGCAAATACGGGTGTAGTATGGAACCAGTAGGCCTCCAACTAGGGGCCACATCATGTTATCTACTGTATGACATTCCAAATGTAAGGATAAACTATAGACTCAAGTAATTTGACATTTACCTAGACACCTGAAGTAATTGTGTGTGTTCAGTGACTCAAAAAGTCATATTCTCACATAATATGACCAGATGATAACTTGCAACGTGTAGGAATACTGTATATATCAGCAGTTTTAAAAATGTATAAATAAATACTGTTGTGGCTGCTCCTTTCCTGTTCTAGCCAGGGTCAGCAAGGAAAATTATGTCAACTCAGATAACCTCATCGGTTCTTCCCTTATCATATTAGTTGTGTTTGTTTAAATGCACTTCTGAGTAGCCTTGGGAAATGTTGGGACGCAAATGAGATAACATGCCCTAAGAGTTTAACAGTCCTTGAAACATGAGCCTGTGCAGTAGTTTGAAAAAAAGGTGTTTAATAACATAGGATAATGATATGTGAATGTTAAGGACTCATACATTATTCAGATTCACATCATGTTATCCACTGTATGACATTCCAAACGTAAGGATAAACTATAGGCTCTAGAGTAAATTGACATTTGCCTAGACACCTGAAGTAATTGTGCGTGTTCAGTGACTCAAAAACATTGACTCAAAAAGTAATATTCTCACATAATAGAAGGCTTCGTTGTTTAGCAACAAAACCGACGCATACGCAACTATGTGGCAAAACAGATGGGATTTGCTTAGATTGACAGCATGTAAACTAAATTTAATCTCCAATGTTTATTGGAAACAAAAACATTTTTACAATGAGCACTTGTTGTCTCAAATACATTGTTACAGTTGTTGGTTAGCTAGGTAGCCTGGGAGGACAGAACAAGACCACTCAACACCCCCTGCAACTCTTCTGCAGTAAAATCTCGCAATACCAATCACAACCTCTATTTTCTGCGGTACTTTTGACCACCATGGCTATGAACGCTAAGAAACCCACCTTACTGAAGCACATATTATTCCTATAACTCTCTATTGGCCTCTGCCTACTCACAGGAATCCTCTCAGGATTTGTATTTGTATTTATTAAGGAGCCCCATTAGCTGCTGCCTACTCTCCCTGGGGTCCAGCAACATTAAGACAGTTATAAACAGTTTAAAATATTACATGACATTACATTTCATAACACTTTACCCAATACATTTAGTGTGTTCCCTCAGACCACTACTCCACTATCACATATTTACAATACAACATCCATGTGTACGTGTGTGTATAGTGAGTCTCATCATGTGTATGTGTGTCTGTGACTGTGTGTCTCTTCACATCCCCGCTGTTCCATAGGGTGTATTTTTATCTTATTTTAAAAAAATCAGATTCTACTGCTTGCATCAGTTACCTGATGTGGAATAGAGTTCCATGTAGCCATGGCTCTATGTAGTACTGTGCAACTCCCATAGTCTGTTCTTGACTTGGGGATTGCGAAGAGACCTTTGGTGGCAAGTCTTGTGGGGTATGCATGGGTGTCCAAGCTGTGTGCTTGTAGTTTATACAGACACCTCGGTGCATTCAGCATGTCAACACTTCTTTCAAAAACAAGTAATGATGAAGTCAATCTCTCCTCCACTTTGAGCCATGAGAGACTTCCATGTATATTATTAATGTTAGCTCTCCATGTACATTTAAGGGCCAGCCGTGCTGCCCTGTTCTGAGCCAATTGTAATTTTCCAAGGTCCCTCTTTGTAGCACCTGACCACAAGACTGAACAGTAGTCCAGGTGCAACAAAACTAGAGCCTGCCTTGTTGATAGTGTTGTTAAAAAGGCAGAGCAGCGCTTTATTATTGACAGACTTCTACCCATCTTAGCTACTGTTGTATCAACATGTTTTGACCATGACAGTTTACAATCTAGGGTTACTCCAAGCCTTTTAGTCACCTCAACCTGCTCAAATACCACATTATTTATTACAAGATTCAGTTGAGGTTTAGGGTTTAGTGAATGATTTGTCCCAAATACAATGCTCTTAGTTTTTGAAATATTTAGAACTAATTTATTCCTTGATACCCATTCTAAAACGAACTGCAGCTCTTTGTTAAGTGTTGCAGTGATTTCACTCGCTGTAGGAGCTGACATGTATAGTGTTGAGTCATCTGCATACATAGCCACACTGGCTTTAGTCAAGGCCAGTGGCATGTTATTAGTAAAGATTGAAAAAAGTAATGGGCGTAGACAGCTGCCCTGGGGAATTCCTGATTCTACCTGGATTATGTTGGTGATGCTTCCATTAAAGAACACCCTCTGTGTTCTGTTAGACAGGTAACTATTGTTCCACAATACAGCAGGGGGTGAAAGCCATAACATACGTTTTTCCATCAGCAGACAATGATCGATAATGTCAAAAGCCACACTGAAGTCTAACAAAACATCTTCCACAATCTTTTATCATCAATTTCTCTCAGCCAATCATCAGTCATTTATGTAAGTGCTGTGCTTGTTGAATGTCCTTCCCTATAAGCATGCTGAAAGTCAATTTGTTTACAGTAAAATAGCATTGTATCTGGTCAAACAAAAGTTGGTCAAACAAAAGTTTACTAAGGGTTGGTAACAGGCTGATTGGTCGGCTATTTGAGCCAGTAAAGAGGGCTTTACTATTCTTGGGTAGCGGAATTACTTTTGCTTCCCTCCAGGCCTGAGGGCACACACTTTCTAGTAGGCTTAGATTGAAGATATGGCAAATAGGAGTGGCAATATCGTCCGCTATTATCCTCAGTAATTTACCATCCAAGTTGTCAGACCCCGGTGGCTTGTCATTGTTGATAGACAACACTAATTGTTTCACTTCTTTCACACTCACTTTATGGAATTCAAAATTACAATGCCTGTCTTTCTTAATTTGATCAGTTTACTTGGACGTTTGTTGCTGGCATGTCTGGCATAAGTTTGCTAATCTTGCCAATGAAAAAATAATTACATTAATTGGCAATATCTGTGGATTTTGTGATGAATGATACAATGAATGATAGAGTTGAGTTTGCCTTTCTGCCCAAAATGTAATTTAAGGTGCTCCAAAACTTTTTATTATAATTCTTTGTCATTTATCTTTGTTTCATAGTGTAGTTTCCTCTTCTTTTTATTCAGTTTAGTCACATGATTTCTCAATTTGCAGTACGTTTGCCAATCGGTTGTGCAGCCAGACTTATTTGCCATTCCTTTTGCCTCATCCTTCTCAACCATACACTTTTTCAATTCCTCATCAAACCACAGGGATTTAACTGTTTTCACAATCGTTTCCTTAATGGGTGCATGCTTATTAGTAAATAGAATAAGCAATTTCATAAATGTGTCAAGTGCAGCATCTTGTTACTCCTCATTACATACCACAGTCCAACAAATATTCTTTACATCAACAACATAGGAATCACAAACAAAACTTATTGTATGACCTCTTATACACTATATTAGGCCCATCCTTTCGAGCTTTGGTTTTCCTAGATATGGCTGGTATATTGTGATCACTACATCCGGTGGATTTGGATACTGCTTTAAAGCAAATTTCTGCAGCATTAGTAAAGATGGGATGAATACATGTTGATGATTTCGTTCCTGTGCTGTTTGTAACAACCCTGGTAGGCTGACTGATAACCTGAACCAGATTGCAGGCACTAGTTACAGTTTGAAGCTTTCTCTTGAGTGGGCAGCCTGATGAAAGTCAGTCAGTATTTAAATCACCCAGAACATATACAGTGGGGAGAACAAGTATTTGATACACTGCCGATTTTGCAGGTTTTCCTACTTACAAAGCATGTAGAGGTCTGTAATTTTCAATTCCTCATCAAGCCACGGGGATTTAACTGTTTTCACAGTCGTTTCCTTAATGGGTGCATGCTTATTAGTAAATATAATAAGCAATTTCATAAATGTGTCAAGTGCAGCATCTTGTTGCTCCTCATTACACACCACAGTCCAACAACTATTATTTACATCAACAACATAGGAATCACAAACAAAACGTATTGTATGACCTCTTATACACTATATTAGGCCCATCCTTTCGAACTTTGGTTTTCCTAGATATGGCTAGTATATTGTGATCACTTGTCACGGATTCAGCCGAGGCTGCTCCTCCTCCTTGCTCGGGCAGGCTTCGGCGTTCGTCGTCCCCGGAGTACTAGCTACTGCCGATCGATGTTTCTGTGTTTGTCTTGTTTGGTCTTTATTGTTTACACCTGTTTCCCATGATGTTAGATTGTATTCCCTATATTACCCCCTGTCTCTCATTGGTTATTTTGTGCGTGATTGTTCTTTGTCATTTCGGCAGTTGCTTTGTGTTACGGGTCTTTGTGTTTTCCTCGCTGTTTGGAGGTTTGTTGTTTTGTACGTTTTTACTGTGTTCAGTAAAGTACGTTGCCAGCCGCTCTGTGTCCTGCGTTTGACTTTGCTGACCGCATACACGTCGCGTGACAGAATCACACACCAAGACATGGAGTCAGCAGGAGCGGCGGTGCCAGCTGGATCAATGGAGGAGCGCGTAACACAACAAGCGGCCATGATCCAGGCTCTCGGCACCGCCATGGAAGGGGTGATGAACACCTTGGAGCGATGGGAAAGAGGAGGTTTGCCCACACCTCCTCCGACGATACCACCACCATCAGCTATACCCATCGCTTCACCTCCGGGGTCCAGTGGGATTCGGCTCTCGCTCCCGAGGGCTTATGATGGCACCGCGGCCGGGTGTCAGGGTTTCCTGCTCCAAGTGGAACTCTACCTGGCAACCGTCCACCCGGTGCCCTCGGGATACGAGAGCGTGTCCGCCCTCATCTCGTCTGTCCGGC